ACACACACACACACACACACACACATACACTCTCACGCACGCGTACACACACGCACATGCAGACAAAGACACATACACAGAAACGTGCAGGCATCAAAGATTGTGTATACATATAATTATGATACTTACTTTTTTACTTTTTCCTTCCTCTGGTATCCTAAGGATGTCGAGGTGAGGTGCAGGTTTCGGTCCCGCGCTAAGTCTCTGATAGATATAATATAATGTTACGTTGTTCCAGAACCTTTTTAACCCCATCCAGCAGGGGCCTTCGTGGTCTTCCAACAATTATGTTTATTATTACTCTCTCAAAAAGTGTTCTCTCAAAAAATTACACAATATGTATTGAAAATAATATGTCGTTATGTATTCTTGTACGACTAGTTTTGGAGCCCATCGTTTTGTACATGTATACGAGAAACATGTATTATTTCCCCCCTTATAAATAACACCAAACACACAGAAATGTACGAGATATTGCAACTAAGAATTGTTAATGCAGTTTTTTGTGTCGTCTCTCATACTAAGGATTGGACTACATACTGTACAATCTTTGGAACATTTAGATCTATACAAATAATAATAAACACAAACACAATCACACACATTCATACACACACACAATAATACCTACCGCCAATGAACGGGAGAAAATATACATTCGAAACTGCTCAAGACCGCCACCCCGTTGCCAGGTGAAAAGTGGTTGTCTTAGACAGGTGCACATCTAGGACAAAGATAAGTGGTCGTTTGTACAGGTGATTGTCTTGTACACGTAGCCGTTTGTACAGGTGATTGTCTTGGACAGGTAGCCGTTTGTACAGGTGATTGTCTTGGACAGGTAGCCGTTTGTACAGGTGACTGTCTTGGACAGGTATCCGTTTGTACAGGTGATTGTCTTGGACAGGTAGCCGTTTGTATAGGTGATTGTCTTGGACATGTAGATCTTCCCGTTTGAGCAGGTTTGATTTGAATTATACAATGATATGTATAATAATTATGTTTATTTTGTACTTGTGAAGGTCTCATTTTTAACACGACATGCTCTCGTTAATTGACATTATCCCTCTGGGTTTTTTTTTCTCTTTCCTTTTTCGCTCTTCTGTCTGCCTTTGTCTTAATTTCTAAAACCATTTCTATTCCTCTTTTTGAAAACTACAAATGTATCTCACTCCATCATTCATTTTCTCTCAACTACATATGTACACTCGCTAATCTATTCTTCCTCTCTACATTACTCGTTACGGAGTCTTTTTCTTTATACGCCCGTTATGATAGTTTCCGTTGTTTGTACCTATAATCCTTTTTCAGATATTCCCTGTATTCCTTGTTAAATTCCTTCAATCATTATTTCATTTATTTACTTACCTAGTCATTCATTTCTTCACTCACCCAATCTTTCACTGATCGTTTGGTTTATTTTGGATCACCCTGTATGTTGTAGGATTTTGAAATGCTGAGGCCATAGTTTCATGAACAGAATAAAATAAATAAACAAATATCCTACCATTTTGAACCAATTCTC